TAACTACCTACAAAGAGATCCACCATCATTCCAGGGTAGAAGCAGTTAATTGGTTAAGGACCCTTGACTCTCGTCCAGAAGATCCCAATCTACATCCCAACCGACTGATAGGACAAAGTTCCATTTGCCTCTCTCACATCTCAGTGGTACTATTCTTATGCTCCCAACTACTGAATATTCTGGGGATCTTTCTTTTTCTGCTTTTAATAAAAATGTTCTGACATGAAAATAAAGCCACATGCCAAACCCACATTTTTTTAATGAAACAGAATTCTAGCCCACCATAGTTGTGAGAACCATGCTGAAGTAAAAAGGACAGAGAAGAAAATTGCATTGAACCAGCCTAGATAGGGATATATAAGCACTGAACCTGTTTCTCTCTAAATGCTTTTGGCATCAAATACAATTTAATCAGCTGTGTCTGCAGATCTCCATTGGGTAGTCCCAGTCAGTTGTTATTGCCTCTGGGTTTCTGCATAGATTAATGCGAGATATATATCCCTGTTTATCTACATGCAAGTTCTAAAATTAAAAGTCTGTATTTCCAGACAAATTTGCAATGCATGTTTGCATTTTATTAAACCAAGCTACATGCTATGCAAAAACTTGAACACTTACTCACCTGCATGCTCGGAGTAGTGGCCCAGTTGGAGGAAAGATCTGTGCAAGTGTGGTGTAACATGGGATGGCTACAGCATTGTAGAACCCAATCTATGAAAAACAACAATGAAAAAAAATAGTTAAATGTTGTCAAACTACAACACTGAAAGTTAACAGCCAACTAGCCTAAAGCTGTTGACTAATAACTTAATTACTACTCATGTTAGTACTTCTTACTACTTTAAAATGAAGCACTAAATAATGAAGTCTCTGGCAATTACAAGTTGCTTACGTGCCTCTCTTTTATGACTAATATGGCTGCTTCAGATAGGATTTTCTACTGGACCTTTTATTATTCAATTGATTCAACTGATTTGCTTAGGATATGTCTGGCTTTTTGGTGTCACTAGTGGCAGGAAGTAGGTGCAGATGGCAGAGCTATTTCTGCAAACATTATTCTTGTCATTTTAATTTTTTTTTTAAACGGAAAGTTGTGCAGCATTGCCAAAATACAGTCAGATTCTGGATTATTTTGATGTCCTCCAGAGCATGTATGCCATAGCTCAATTTACTTGAGATGCTGAGGGCTTTGTACCTTTGCAAAGTTTCTAAAAAGTGTGTGCTGTGATCAATAATTAGTTTGCAATTTCTTTTCCTGTATGCAGTTCAGTGACATATTTCTACCATTATAATACAAATCTATTTAGAGAACATCAAATGAACACCTTTTTAATTATATCTGATTCACACAGGCTTAGGGGTCTCTGACAGCTACCATGTCACAGCTGAACTGTCATGAAACGAAGGAATTTTTAGAAAATGCTACTTATGTATTAGCAAGAATGACAGGTTAAATACTGATCCATTATATCACTAAGTTATCCCAGACTCTCATGATAGCTACAGTAGTGCACTATGATCCCTTTCTTTGGGCAGAGTTTTTAAATGCCTTTCAGTGAAAAGCCATGTATCGTACTGTGACCAAATCTTTTGATAAGTCTCTTTTTAACAGTCTCAGCATTGGCCCTTATTCAGAAAGTGAAAAGCAACTCCTGACCTCACCTACATCGATACAGAGATTCCTCACATACTGCTATGTAACCAAGTCCATTCTGTACTTTAAAAAAAGATGTATTTTCTGACCTGATAACTCAACACTCTGAGTTGAAGTAATCATGATGTGACTGATAGAAACTGAAGCTAGTGAGAAGGCAAGGTTGCACACAGCTGTGACGTCTGCTCATCCACAAAGTTTGCTATTCTGCATAGTACATTGTTTTCTTCCTAGGTGTTTTTTCCTGTGCCTTTCTTTCTTGTTTGTTTGTTTTTAACAGTGAATATTTTATTTCACTGGAAAATAGCAGATTACTCATAGCTATTGAAAATAAAAATGGGACCTTAGGTACAGTCACACTGTATGCTTTCTGGCTCAATCAGAAATCTGTTGCCATTGCAAAACATAAAGTATTTTAACCAAACTAAGTTCATCTGCAATATATTCCAAACAACTGTCTCTTTGGAATCCTGATATTTAAAATAAAATGTGTCCTTTAAGGTCTTGAAAGCTTTTAAGTTAAAATGAACATCAATCAAGGAAGAAAAACCCTAAAAGGCTCAATGGATTTAGGTTCTGAATGAAGCCAAGCCAAGCTAAAAACATTCCTTTGCAAAAGTCACCATTTCTGACCAGAGCAACCTCACACAAATCCCTTTTGTAAAAGGTTTAGGTTATCCAAATAAATTATTCCTGACTGATTTTTATGTTGCTGTGGCTAGACAGAAAGCCTGGAGTTCACTCAGATATGAGCAATCTATTGAAGTCACTGCAGGAAAGGCAATGTACTTATATCCTACGATGCATTAAAAGGAGGAACAAGAGAATATCTTTTGTTTCCGAAATAAATTGTTCCCATCTCTTCAAACTGTACATCCCAAATATACTGCTAGCTTTAAGAGCTGTATCTTTAATGATGATAATGATGATAAACCTTTTATTTTCAACCTGTAAACTGTATTTCTGGGATAAGCTTTGAATGGCTGAAGCACATGAACTGTTCCTTCTCCCTTCCTCCCTTCATTACTCAGGCTGGCTTGACTTCTTTATCAAAAGGGCTTTCAGGTCGTTGCTTAGTTTTGGCATTTCTATTTTCTTCATGGGTTCCAAAAGGATGGCCAGAAAAGAGGGTGACAGGATCCCTGCTGAGTCAGGAACAAATCTGCAGTGCAGGTTCTACAACAGGAAGACACCAAACTCTGAGACCTTATGTGAGTTGTGCTGCAAACGGCATAAAGCACAACAGAGACCAACTGATACTAAACATACAAATTTAGTAAATTAACTGCTGCAAATGGCGTAAAGCACAACAGAGACCAACTGATCCAGCCGCTTAAGTGAGAGGAAGAGCTAAGTACAAGCTATTCCCATCCCAGCTGAGTACTTGAGGCAGAAGTAGGTTTTTTCAGAGATTACATGTTTATACAAATCCTCATTTCCTAAACATCATTGTCAATTAAATAAGGTATTAATGCTTCAATTAAAATCCACATAAAATGCTTTTTTAATTCATTTAATTAATTAATTAATGCTTTTTGTTAGAGCCCAAGGAAATGAATAGTAATGCTTTACTGAATTCTTCAGTCTCTACGTAAACATAGGAATGGTTACTTTCACAGAATTATATATGTCCTAAATCTCACATTTTGCTGTAATGTTGTTGTAAGATACAGCAGCTACAACTATACTACTGAAGATGGCTTTTCATGTCCTATTGTGCTTAATATTTTACTGTTATACTATTAAGAAGCATGAAACGGAGCACAAAGTAAAAAAAGAACCCGATGAAGACAGTACCTGGAACAATATTTATTGCATTTTAAAGAGAAAAAAAAATAGTGTATTTGTTAGATCTGTGCTTTCACCTCATTAACAAATCTTCCACAAATGCTAAGATTACATACTATAATGCTGTGTACTTTTCAAGATATTCAAAGATAACTAATATAGGAAAAATAAACCAAATGCAGAAAACTGTTTCTTCTCATTTTAGGCTTATACTAAACATACAAATTTAGTAAATTAACTGCTAATTCCTTACTATAATAAGAGTATCAGTTTTTATGCTAAAATATGAGAGCATATAAAGTGTCAGAATATAAAGATTTCCATAGTCTTGCTTAGCAAGTAATTAATCTACAGTGATTTTGTGATACTTTGTAATTTCTAGTTTATTTTAAATATTACTGTTAATTTCAGAGTTCATTAAATGCTTTGTGAGTGCTAACTACTAACAATTAAAGCATCAGAGGCCACTGAAATGAAAAAAAAGAACCCAACAAAACCTTTAGACACATATATGTATATGAACGGACAATGGACAATTTAAATTTCTTTTTTTCTGCTCAGATAATCACAGGACAAGCTACCTTTTTTGTTTACCCAAAAGTTAGTGCAAAGACCTTTCTTTTTCCCCAAATTTATGTTTACAAAATACTAATTTTCTTTAAGGAAAGCATGAAAAAGCAGTCATTTCTGCGCATTTGTGCACAGAAAAATCAGTACCTAAAGACTTTGGAAAACGGACAGTTGAGGCTCTTAGAAACACATTTTTTACTGCTTACCCTCAAGAAACTCTTCACATTATTATCTTTTTTTTTTTTTTTTAGGAATGACAAAAAGCATTATTTATAGTTATTTAAAAAACTAATGAAGAAGCATTGGTCTAAAATTACAAATATTTTTAAATCTGAACCTGGATATTTTAACCAGGAACAGGTGATGAAGTTCAATATGTATTCAAAATAGAACAGTGAAACCTTACAGGTAAGGGCTGAAGCAACCACTAACTTCAGAAAGTGTTATTGACACTTCTCAAAGTTGTAGATGATTGTGGTTTAGCTGGACTTACACGTACAAAGAACGGAACAGGTGACAACAACAAAGTGCACATTGTCATTTAAGTCATGTCTTTGAAAGCAAGTTTTCTACTGCTACTTAAAAAAATTAACCATTTTGCATGTAGAACATAAAATTCAGCAGCCCACATAAACTAACGTCAAATGAAATATTCAGTAATATATAAAGTGGTTTTTACATACATGTTTTATTAACACTATAAAACATTTATCATTTTACAGAGAGAGTTCATACCTGACCCTGAGGGACTTCATCTTTCTTGTCTCTGTCCATCATAGGAATAGGCTGAATACCTGTTTTCTTCATTTCATCACCCTGGGGAAAAGCCGAGAGATATTAGGAAAACAAAAATCAAGACTACTGAGATCTGAACTAATTTCTATCTTCTACTGTAAATCAATCTAAAAATCCAGAATTTAAAATAATGTGTGGTACTCGTCTAAGGCAATCTTAGAGAACTGCCTAATGAGGGGCTCATTTTATACATTCACCTAAATGATAATGTAAATATCAGATCCTGAAAGTTTTTGAGTCAATGTACACATATTTTCCTTGTTTTCAAGGTCATCTCCATAATAAAAAGCAACTGGAAGAATAACATAAATAAATCAGTTCATTTTATTCTGTTCTATTCATAGTTAGTCTTATCTTTCAAAATATTACCTGCTTAAAGCACTGTGATACCAGCAGAACTCTTCCATCCAAGGAAAAGGTCAGTAAAACAGATGAATTTGCAACATGTCGTCTTTGTCAATAATCCAGTCTTTTTGACCATGCTACTTTAAAGAAGCTGCCTGTCAAACAGCCTTCTTTTCTTTAAGCATGTTATCCCTCTACATTCAAAAGAGGAATACTGGGAAAGATGCAGTATATCCAAACACCAGATATAGGTAAGGTACAAGAGAAAACTGACTCCTTACATGTCAACCATTACCAGCAGAGCAGCCAAAAAACATTTTCCAAGTTTTCCAAGTCTTATGCCTCAACTGTACTGTCAAAACACCACAGCTGTTTAATCTTGAGGTTATAAAGGCAACTACAGCCATAGAAAGGGCTGCTTCCAGCTGCTGCTCATGTCCGAGATTCCAAATTCAGTGTGATCTTCAAGCTGCTAACCTTATGTATTGGGTTTGCATGGTGAGGTTTTGGTAGCAGGAGAGCTACAGGGGTGACTTCTGTGAGAAGATGCAAGAACTTTCCCCTGTGTCCAGTAGAGCCAGTGCCAGCACTATGAGGGCTGCTAATGGGAAAGTTAACTCCATCCCAGCCAGACCGAATACACCTTAGTTAGGGAGAAAGTTTATGCAGGATAACTGCTCATACAATATTTGCTTATCTATGTCCTTTAATGTGAGATCCAGCCTATATAGATTTAGCTGTCTGAAAGGTTTGGACATTGCCTAAATCAGTGTTCTATGTTTCTGCTACAGTTAGTGAAGGCATCTCCGGAAGACAATTTATTACATCTTTCTCATAAGATTTTCTCAAGCCATGTTTCAAGTGCCAATGTTCCCTTTCAAGAGAGGATTTTGGCACCTTTACTCAAAGAGAAGCTTATAATATAATAAATTGAGTCTGGACTGAGCAGAGCATCTTTCTGTTTGACTGTCTTGCAACTACCTTGAATGCAAAAAAAATGGGGCCTTCTGGAAGTCAATTCTCTCTTGCATATTTGTTCTCAGTATCACCTGCCTACTATGATTCTGCTCAATTAGCCAACAAGAGATGGAATCAGGAAGCTATTTTTGAATTAGTGTCTGTACCGTTCTCTCATATCACATATTTCTTTCATCAAGTAGTTAGAGAGGCTAGAATCAGCAAATCTAGTCTCTGTTAGACATTTTACTTTTGAAAGAAACAAAAGGAAAGGCCTCCTTCCTCAGCTGATAAAAAGATGCCTGTAACAATTCCAAGCACAGAAATTCAGTGGGTTGTTATTTAGGAGCCGTAAGCAAATTTTGGTTTTATGTGCCCCCAGTATATAATATTTATTTTTTTTCCATTTGCTTTAAGTATTGCAACTGATTGATTGTGTACAATCTGTGTGCAGCTACCATAGTCTCAATGATAAGAACTTCAACACTAAAAAATTTAGCATCATATGATTTTAAGTTCTTTGATTAACATATTGTCAAGTGCCTGAGAAACACCTGAAGTCAGAGCTTTGAGGAAGCTGTCCAGCCTCTGACTGATTATGCCAAAACTGAACAAAGCTTAGATTTATGTTCACCATTTCACCTGGAAATAAAAAGGTATCACAGAATCACAGAATGGTTTGGGTTGGAAGGGACCTCTTGGGATTGATCGTCCAATCCATCCCACACACCTACCCCAGCAGAATCAGCTAGAGCAGGTGATACGGGACTGTATGCAATCAGGTTATAACAGTCTCCAATGTTGAGGACTCCACAACTTCTCTGGGCAACCTGTGACACTGGTTGACCACCCTCACAGTAAAAAACTATTATGTGTAGATGGAACGCACGTGCTAGAAACAAGTGTTTTCTTGTGTTCAATATGTGCAAACACATTCATGATACACTGTTGTAAAAAAATACTGCTTTTATCCTCATGGTTATGATCATGATTGGAAAGTTAAAGCTGAAAATCTAAGAAAAGAAGTTTGTATCATATTTGTAGTATGGCTATAATAAGTGGCTGACAAGTCTCTTAAAATACTGCAGAAAGTGTTTAACAGCTGCCTAGTGTCTCATATCTCACAAAAAAAATCACAGCAGACAAATCTTATACAAGCTTGCAATACTATATAATTGATCAGCAAACGTATTATTTTGCTTAAGTTGTAGCACTGTGGGAAAGCTTCATGCTGTGTGATATCAAGGTAGATCTTAGCTGAAAACATTAGCTACACTGGGCTTTGTTCAATGAAGAAAGACCACTGTGACATATCACAAAACTGCTGCAACCTCTTCTGCAGTTATTGTTTTAGTTAATGATTACACAAAGAAAAAATAAGATTAAAATCCTCTGATTAAATCATTCAACATATTATGAATTCAAGTAGTAATTAGAAGCAACATTCTATCCTACTTTTAGAACTGCAACATAATCATTCAATCTAGTCAAATACACTTTCCTAGAGTTTAACTTTTTTCCCAATTAAGTAACAATTTCTATAGTGAAACATAATCTAAACTTTGTATTGGTTTAGCTTTCCCAGGATTTTCTCTAAATCTGTCTCCAGCTTTCCAATCTCCAGAAGTGTTTAGACCTGTGGCTGGATTTGTCAGCCATCCTGAATGGATCACAAAATACCCAACTTCCACCACGTATCAATTAACCTCTTCTTAAAGAGGATTCAGTAAAACACCAGTTACAGAATTCAATTTTTGTAAATAACTTCTAATTTACATTAGCTCCATGAAGTAGCAATATAACAAGATTCGCCTTTATTAACTCATCCTTGGATTACAAAACAGGTCATGTTCAATTGTGGGCATGCTCAATTGTGTCCATAACTCCATCTTTACTATTGTTGAGTAGGAAAAATCAGTTTGATCCTTCCTTCTCCACTAAGCTCACAACATTTGCATTAAAAAGCCTTTTACTTGTAACCAAAAAGTTGAGTATGTAATCAGTGAGGCACATCAACATTATACCTCCATTTTATCACTCATAAGAACACTCACTTTCCAGTGCTGACATTTCAGAAAGTAAGCACTAAACTAGATCTTCAAGCTTATATACTCTGTGTTTTTCAAATATTTTATTGTAGTCTGAGCTGTTCATAATTAAGAGAACAAGAACATGTGAATATAAAAAACACCCCACAAGCCATGCACATCTTGAATTTCATAGTGAACGTGCAACAAGCAGGACAATGATCTCCACACTATATGCATGCTACATCAACAATGTGGGCCTGATTTCCATTTTACCCCTGTGTAAAACAGAAATAAGCCCACTGAATTCTGCACACTTTCACAGGGCACATAACAGAGAACAACACTTTATGGTACTTATGTGCAACAGTAGTTCTGAAAATACAGCATATCTTCTAAAAATCACATAATTCAACTCTGTGCAACACCCTCAGAATTTATTCCTTACTGCTGAAGTAGTCTCTTCCATTTTAGAAATTAAACGATTGCAACATTTACTCCTCAATGTAAGACATGTGAGAGATTGCATCTTTATTTATGAGTATCATTAGCACAGCTCAATACACTGTTTCAGTTCTCAGTACATCTTATCTGTGGAGTAACTTCCAGTATATTAAAAAATCAGCTCTCTCTCAGTCCCAGTTGTTGACCTGGCTCACAAAGAAGAGTCAACTGGTCAGATGAGAACAATTTTAAAGTTTGTAATATTTGCTTAGCATTTCCTGGATTCATACTACAGCTTTATAAGTGTGTTTCAAGGCAGCTGACCTGGAAGCTAGCCTTGTATTTTGGATTTCTAGAATACAAATAGATCCTTCACAAAACTACAGTTAGTGACTCAAAAAACCTTATAGATTTTCTTCTGTGTTCTGTTGCTTGGTCACTTTATGTTAGGACATACTTTCTAAATTCATCTTTAACAGAGAGAAAAAAGACTGCCTGAAAAGCAGGAAGCTAACTCAGCTCTTCAGAGTAAACAACAAAACACGTGCATGCAGCAATGAACACTCTTTAAAACAATCACGCCAAGATATTGATTGAAAAATACTTTTTTTTTTTTTTTTTTTTTTCTTCCTGGATACTTCCAGTTATAGAGAGAGTAAACAAAAGAAACATACATACCTCAGCCCAGAACTCCGCATATATATCATTGGCCGTCAGTCTGGTAACTGACCACAACTTTGTTACAGAACACAAGTCACAAGCTGTCATCATCAGACCAATCACTCTATCTCTAAAATAAAATAATATCAAATTGTAAGTTTGGTAAATAATTAATGATCACACTGCATAGGTTTTATGCGCCCTTCCTCAGTTCAATCAGCAGTAAAGTATATGTACTACAAAATTTAACCCACCTTGCTTGTTCCTTCCTCAATTGTTTATGATTCATTGGTAAGGTATCACGCAAATTATATATTATATTCCCTCTAGTATTCCCTGCACTGTTTTCAACCAGAGTCCATGGACCATCCTCTGCACAATCACATTCACAGAAAAGTACACAAGAATGCCTAGCTGTTAAAACACTCACATGTCCCTCCTTAATATTGTGAAAATACAGTACAAGTCTATAAAAAGAAAGATGGCATACTCTGTTGCTGCATTTCTTTCAGTTCTCTAAAAAGTAAGGAACACATGCTCCAAAGAGAGGAAAAACTAGTTCTGAGTCTAAAGATACTCTGTCATTGCTTTATCAGAATGAATTCTAACTGCCAGAAAAAGAATCCTACACGTAACTCTGTCCTATACAATGATGAATCTGCTCACAGAATAACTGAACAGCATCAATAGGATTATAAACATTACTACAATAAGGCACACACAAAAAAATCTTATTTAAACGGTTTTCCAGCACTCGTCTACCGCTCAAACCTATGGTTTATGCATCTAAGTTTTATAAAGAAAACTGGCAAATTAATTAATGGATTCATGTGTTTTCCAATCAATGGAGAATTTAAGATGACACTTAACGACACCTGCATCTTTTTTAATAAGGCCTATTCCACAAAAAAAGGACACAACTTGCTAACTTGCATGCCAATGTGACAGTAGTCATTCAAACTGTATCAACAAACAAATATACCAGGGAAAATACAAAAATACACAATATGATCAATAGATAAATGGCAAAGTTCAGTACCCCTGAGTTAATAAAAAGGATTCATCAGCCACATAAGGGCTAAATTTAGCATTCCATTGCACATACAGATACCAACTAGAAGTCTTGGACTCTTTAGCCACATTACAAACTCATATCCTATCTTCAGGTGCGTGGCACTGCACTGTAAATTCTCTGAGGGTAGGTAAGATAAAAAACCCAACATAATATTAAATCAGACACCAAGTAGTTGTGATCCTATTTAAATTCAAGATTTCTGGTAAATTTCATTCTGAGATTATCAAAAGCTACTATATCTTTGTCTTTTTAAGATGTTGAGGTTTATTCAAGTCTGATAAGCTTCAGTTCCATGCTGGGAAATAAGCTTTTAAAAACTGAATATGAATATATTTTTTAAACTGAGAGCTATCTTAATTCACAAAGGTTGAGATCTAAACAGAATTTTTTACAGAAAATGTATGTTGACATAAAAATAAGTAATTATTGCACTATACTTTTTTCCCCACCACCTAACTGCCTGTGCACTAACTTTCCTCTGCAGATGATCTGTCACTGAACTGTGCAAATGACATCCAAAGGCAGTGACATGCAAATATATAAGAATGGAAATTACTGTTACATACTTGGAATTTTACACACAGCTGGTCTTAGAAATCTCATATGTAATAAAATTACTGTGTACACAGAATTTTATATATATATATATATATATATGCACACACACACATATAAAAGCTTGCAATTAATGTGGGACTAATACCATAGTGAACTAATACTGGTTTGCTGCTTTACCTGTGTGCTTGGTTCTTAAGGTTTAATGCTCCCGTCTGATGCAGCTCTTCAAGTTGTTTTCTATTTCCAAAATACAGGGCAAGGTCTGTGGCGATGATGGCTTTCCGGATGATCTCAAGTACTTGCTCATATTCGCTGGAGCTCAGATTGGAGAAGACATTGTGCCCTTCCAGCTATGAAAAAGTAAAAAACCAATAAAAAGCAAAAGCTCTAATTCTGAGACGACTTCAGTCCTTACTTCACCAGACAGGTTACAACGGTTTTACAGCCCAATGACAAATTTGTTGCAAATTCAAATGCTGACAGCCTGAAATTCCCATTTTTCTCTTTCTTTTTTAAATACTGTCATGACACCTATTACTAAGTCATGGATTTGGTTTTAGGACTACTCCTTCTGAAGCCTAAAGGTATTCATAGAGAAAAATGCTAGCTTTTTCTTCTCTGATTTATAATCACTACAGACATAGCACTTCCAGACAGTATAGCTGGGGAACTTGTGATTCGATCCTGATCCAGAGTACTGCACTGCCAAGTTAGTAAATTGAGTGTCTGATTCACTCCAAAGTACAATTTTGATACTGCATAACACATAATATGGATAAGGAAGTAACCACATTGAAGTAGTAAAATAATTTGGTTTTCACAGTGTTCCAAATGAAATGTGTCTTAAATTGCTGCACTTACTGATGCAATTTTCTCTATGAAATTAATTACAGTATTTTAATGTAGATGAACATTTAGGGGAAAAAGTTGCTTTGTTCAACCATAAACTGACTCGTAAACCAAAGACAATGGTTTCTACTATGGAGGATCTGGCAACATGCCACTGGCATCCTTTTTAAATTTCCACTACATACTATTGCACATTTAACTGACAATATCCATGTACTGTGATCACTCATGAAGCTATATCACATTTTGAAAAGTCAACACTATTCCCTGTCTCTAAGATTTGGAAAACAACTTGTCAAAAGCCTTCATACTGTTGAGAGGAAACAGACAAAAATAAGAAAGAATGAGCCAGCCATGTCAAGGTGTGCACATTCACAAATATAAAATATTATTAAAATAGATCAAATACAGATGTGTTTTGACATTTAATTGGCATTTGGGCTGAAGTTCATAAAAAGTCTCCCTGAGTTTTGCCAAGCATTTACATAATTTGTTCAAAATAAATCCTCTGTGGTACAAATAGGCTTGGTTTCTCTCACCATCCGGAACGCAAACGTCATTTTCCAACATTTTTACTTGGACAAGTAGATTTATTGTGAATAATGAACAGAAAATACAATCTGTCTATGTCTCAATGCTGCTTTGACAGATTCCTAAGTCATAGAACATGATATTTAAAAAAAGTTCAGAACATTTTAGCCAATCATCAACACTTTGGGAGCAGGAAGTTACTACTAGTTTTCATGATTTAGGTTTTTGAGGACCCTTTCCTCCCCACACTTGTTGCTTAAAGCACAAGAACAGGATCTTTGTCCTAATATTTAATTATTCTAGATTCTATTCTTTAGGCTTTAGAAGCTGCACTATCAGAAAGAACACTGTGACAGCTTCTGTTCATACTACTAGAAAAGAAGTGATTCTGTTAAGTACTGACAGAAACTGCCATTTCTGAACATGTCACTCAGGCTTTTGAGCAGTACATACGAAGTACAGCTCCTAAGATTTTATTCTTTCCTTGCTGAGCTAAAGCTACTGAAGAGAATCCTCTGTATCCGTAAGAAAGGTGCACACTAGAACTGCAGGTAGATAAGCAAGGCAGCTATAAAGTCTCAAAGAGTGAAAAGTAGTGCAGGTTACTAACATAAAATTAAAACTCACTGAAATAAACCCTAAAGGGTTTGGTGGGTTGGTTGGCTTTTTTTTTGTAACAGTCCAGGAATTCAGTAAGGCATTTTTATTCAAACAAAAAGCAGCAAGTCCAAAAGGCTGCTCTAATCTGCCTTTGCTGCTAATCACCATCCATGGGCACTTGAGCAGCAAATGTCTGAACCCACTCTACAGCTCTGATCAATCTCCCTTTTCTCACCCACACTGACGGCCAAGGCTAGGAGGTAGCAGGAAAGCAAAAGGGTTCCCTTCCTTCTTGGCAAATGGGACTTTCACTGATGACAACATTTATGCAGGAAAAAAGCAAAACATTCTTTGAAGAATGACTGAAGTTTGCTTCAGGTAGCCACAGTGGGACAGCGAAGTGTTAATGACTGAGGAATTTGCTCACTGTGCACAAACTCATATGAAGAATGAATACTAAAAATCTAACTCCATACCACCCCTGAAGGATTCAATTACACCCTCCCACATGGAGGAGCATTCAGAGATAAAGTTTCCATTCTCTGATGAAATGTATATGATACCTAAAACCATAATCACAAGATGTGCTTCTGAATACAATACAGAATATTTATTTTTCCTAAAAGGTGATTAGGTATTTATGAAAATAAGTATCTTCCCCCTGAAAGACCAGAAAGAAAGAAAAGTTAATAATGAATTAGTGGCACAGTAGCATGGCAAGGCTGTGCATTGAGCGTGTGCATGGTAAACTAAAACCAGTGAGCACAAGTATGTTATGGACTGGCAGTGGTTTCACAAGTGAGAGTTCTCACTCTTCTAATTGAGCATGAAAGAAATTTTCACTGATGAGAAAACAGCTGTGTGTCAGCAGCACACTTGGATTTCCCAAAACGTATCTGCATGCTTTCTTGTAGTTTTCCCTTCATTAAACATACAGACACATTACCTCATATTAGGAAATCTCTTTCAAAGAATATTACCTTACTCAGATTTTTTTTTATTTAAAATTGCTGAATAACGAAAATGCAGATGATAACATAATGACACAAGTTTAAACTTTCCATGCGTGCAAAATTAACATTCCCTCCTTCATGCCACACATTTCATGTTTACAGAATTTATTACAGCAGGTTTTCAAGCTTCTCATGCAAACTTTTTCCAGTACTTGAGTTTTTATTCAGAATTTCAGGATGGCTGAAGACTTTGTTGAAACACATTATGCCAGAAATATCTATGTAAGTGAGAAACTGATTTTTCATTTTCAAAGTTCCTATTACATATGGTCACATGAAAAACCTTCATTGACCCAGAAGCTAAAAGCTCCCAAGTAAGGGCCAGAAGCAAAGACCTTCAAATACACAGTATTTTTTATAACACCAAGATTTGGGGAAAGCTATGTTTTGCCCTAATATTGAATGCTTAGGTTGCTAATTGTGGAACTTGTCTTGCTGTAATAAATCTTCCGCGCTTCTAAATGAGCACTACAATCCAGAAATTAAATTGAACATGCTTCAGAAAATCTACTGCGTAATATGTGACTCCTATTTCCACCACTGGACTCTACTGCACGGAAGATACAATTTCAATAATCCTACCTGCAGGATGGACACAGTCTGTGAAAAGTGGTGCTGTTCCATTGTTGATGTGGAATAGAGAGCAGCTAAAGGGTGATCAAATTTCTGAAGATAGCTGTTGCTGTAACCTCTGTGATCCAGGTCATGACACAGGCATGCAACTAAAAGACCTTTTCGCTACAAAAAAAATGAGATAAACGTGAAAAGTAAGATGCATTTCCTGCCCCTAGATGTCACTCTCTTCCCAAAATACTGTACACATTTCACTACGATTACATTGCCTTCAAAAAGTACATCAAGAAACATCCTTAAAATTGTGAGAAAGACTAAAGTGACGACATGCTGAATTAAACTTCTCGGTCCATTTGTAATTCAAACATTTTATGTATTATGAATTTAAAAACCATTGTTGCACAATCATATATTATTGGAGGGATCCTGTTTCAGGAAGAAATCTGAGTTTTAAACAGATAGTCTGGTCATCCACTGAATCCTTACCATGTTTGTTTAAAAAATCAAAAGTGCAGTTATTGAGGGAGAGGAAATAGAGAAGATGTATGATCTCTTGGTCAAGGCAGTTGCACCAAAGTCTGATACCAGACCTGCCTCTGCAACACTCGTCAAAGACACTGACCAAGCCTCCTAGGTGAAACGTTTCCTAGGAAGTCACTAATGTGAGCCACAGAAATGCTGGATAACAGCAATGGCAAACAAAGATGGCAACAGGTTTTTTTACTTAATTACCTCTTAATAGCTTGAAGAAATTGAGTCCCTGAAATCTCTCTCTCAACACACAAAATACGTGAACATTTGCAAAAGTTTTTCACACAGCAGGTGTGTTTTGAAAACACATTCATTAATATTTGTGAAGCAGTTACTGTCAGCATGGAGTATCACAAAAATGTCTTTACAGACTTAACAGCTCTGTCTTATAGTTGGTTTCAATGAATGCTCAGTAAACAAGGAGAAGGCCATAAAATGAAGCCAAAAAAGAAGACTGTTTAGCCACCTATGCAGTGAGCAACATCTGACCTGCATACTGTACTGAGGGACATAGTCCTGTGGGAAAATAGCAAACAACGAAGTCACAAAAAAATTTTATCACAAAAATACAACATGCAGAACTAAGGTTGTAGCAACCCTAATTTTATTTCTGATTTTGAGACCTTCACTTTTCTTTTTAATGATGTCTTTTCAATATTGTATCTTGGGAAGTACTTTTTTAAAAAGCATAATAAAACAGATGATGCAGCAGCACATGTCCACACAGATCCTCAGCAGAAGTGGAACCCTTAGGAACATAACGCACACCTATATTACTTGAAGTCATGCAGTAACAGCTGTAGGAAGTTGGTATCCCCTTTTCATTACATTAGGAGGGGCAAGACGTGTAACCAATAGACTTGAAAATCAGTTTCTGACATCAAAAAAAAGATGAGTCTCAGAATCCTTTGTGCTACATGTTAGATCTAGTGGGCATAAACTTTTCTGTCCTTCCCCCACAAGTTTAGTTCTCCTGTTGCATCCTTTACAACCTGTGCTTTTTCCAGTCTTACAATTCTGACCAGTTTGTCCCTTGTACCAGATGGCTCTCTTTATCTAGCTTGTCCCAGTCTCCATGTCCCAGGAAGTAATTCTTGTCTCAGTCCTTCAGGATTACAAAATGCCTAATCCCAGTGCTCTTGACCTGGTATCCATTGTCCCTGCTTGGATCCTAACTCTTTGACCACTTCCAACTGCTCGACCTATTTGTCTCTAGATCAGAATCCCTTTTACAGTGTTTCATACTTCTCTTCCCATCTCTAAGTCTATTGAGGTTCATGTCATCATCCTTCACCTGAGACCAGCCCATCCTAGTTCCTCAAACTTTCCTTCAGTAGTTTCCCGTATTCTGGTTGGATTCATCTCCAGTATGAAGAAAGGAAACTGCTAAAAAGAGCTGTAACACAGACTGGGATAAGGCATTCAAACAGGTGGAGGCTGGCTGGAGTTTGGCAGAGAACAAAGACCATTTCCATCTCTCTTAACAGTTGCCTCTTTTGCTCTCCTTGTCTTTCTTACTCTGCATCTCCAAAAAGATGGAGCTTACTACTTTGCTTCTACTGAATGTTATCAGAGCTTTAAATATTCCCCGAGGCTGCAATCCACAGATTTTTGTTGTTATAGGAATACTGATTTTTTTCAAACTTGTATAGCTTTGCCAACTGTCAGTATATGCCTGGCAAATGCCACTTTCCTATTTCAGTGTCAATTTGCAAGTCCCTGCTTTACAGCAGAATAAACTAGACCTTTTCAAATGAAAGATCACAAAATTTTATTTTAGTCTTATATACTGAACAAAAACTAGATTTCTCCTAGCATGTTTCTTTAAAAGAGACAAATAATTTTGGCTGAAATTTGCCCAAATTAGCTTGAAGAAGTCACGGAGCTTGGAAAATTATAGCCCAAATAGCTAGTATTTGGCAAAGTTGTACACAATTGTAAACAGGTTCTCCTAGTCGTAAGTTTCAGGTAGTATTAATAATAGACAGCACACCCAGTTGCATCCACAATAATTCAGAAAAAAAACAAGTCACAGGTCTTCATAGAAGAATATTAACATTTAACCATTCTAAGCCTTCCATTTTATTATTATAACTTTTCCAGTTAGTGATATATTAAAAGCATTTTTTCCTGACTTTTTTAAACACTATGTATTTATCTTTAAAATATGTACACATATGCTAGAAAAACTGGGGTATAATAAAACTTAATCAGGGAATTAGCACATTTAGACAGCTGTATTCTTTCCATCCTTTCTGCTCTTCTCCTTTACTCACGGATGTCAACTGTCTCTGCAATACCAAGCCCCTGTCCCTTGCCCTCCTAGTTCAGGATCCCCCAGACTTCACAGGGTTCAAGATCCAGGGTGTTTTCCTCCCCTCAGTACAGATCTGGCAGTTAAATAAGGACTGTGGCTGTAAGTGGGCAGAGAGAACTTTAAAATGTGGACACGGACTTAGAGCAAATCTGCTACTGCTTCTTCAGTAGGCAGACCTGAAAAACGTGAAGGAAACACTAGGATTCGGAATCTGAATCATTCTTCTTCCTCAAGCTTTCTACTCACACCTGTTCCTCTGCCAGGACCTTTATATACACCAAGCTGACAGCAAAATTCTAGCATAGAAAATTTACTTCTACGATGGCTAATACTTCTGATGAGGTCTAGTAACTGACAAAATCATCTCACCTACCTCTAGATCAGTGAAAAGCCCCTGGTTGTTCTGAAGTATGGCATACATGCAATGCGCAACGGTAACTGCATGCTTCCAGTTGTGGTAGGGTACACGGCGATAATTCTTCTTTACAGACATAGTAAATCGGCATAGCTTTTCAAGTTCAAAGCTAGGAAGACATTAATTTGGTTAGAGACAAGAAATAAGAAGGGGAAAAATAACCAACAGGGGAGAAAAGATGCTCTTTGTTTTAGTCTTCTTGCTAGGATTGACTCTTCTTATGGATGACTCATTGATTACAAGAGTCATTAAAGTTTTGGCAAGGACAGATGAGTGTGGATGCCTGACAATGCTCTTAATTTACTCTGTAAAGTTCTAGAACATAAGTCAAGCTACCCAGCTCAAGCAACACAATTGATAACCTTCCCTGCTCCCAGAAACTTGAAGTGTGTTTTCTTTAAGTCATTATCTATTCAACCTGCCAAATAATGAAACTCTGTATCAGGACAATTTGAAAACATAACTTGCGATCCAAACAGAAAACTGGGATTTTTAAGCAAATGACACAGAAGAAATAACCTTGTTTAAATTAAAATTTCAGTCAAATGTCAAATGCCTAAGTTGTTTTGAATAAAAGAAGTTGAGATGCTCCATACTGACATCATGAAAAGAAGAAGATTTTATGTTTTCCAATACTTTTTTTCCAGTTTGGTCAAATGAGCAGAAATTCACATTTCACTGTTTCTTCATTTTTCACCAAATAATATTTTGTTAAGTAACTGCCAATCAACCATGAAAATTCCCCAAACAGATAGCATTTACGGGATTACTTCTTAAAGAATTTTTAAAATATTTTTGCTATTAATATAGACAAACAACATTAATTTATGATCAAGAGTATTTTCACCAAGGTAAAAAAAAGCAGTAATAAAGTCATTTTTATGTTTGGCTTACGTGCTCATCAAAAACACCTCTGACAGTTCATATTCTGTAGTACCAGAGCTCTGCACAAACTTTAATAGACTTTATCTACCGATGTTTCATTGAAAGGAAAGCTGAATACTTTTTGCCTACAGATGGGAAATTCAGGCACAGATTAGGTATCAGGCAAAATTTTCTGAAGTACCTAATCCAAGCTGCCCAGGATGAGAAAGGAGTATTACACTTGAGCCTTGAATTGAACCAAATACGCCAGAGTCCCAAGTCACTGACTTTTTCCCCTCATAAACAGATCAGTTTTCCTTTACCCCAATTTTTCCCCCTGCTACTGTGGTTTGACTTTTTTTTAAAGTTCTATATTTTGATAATTTCTTGGGTTATCTCAGGGAAGCAGTATTAATGTTTTGCAGTATAAGTTGGCTGAGAAAACAAAGCTGAATGTCTCTGACCTATATGGAACCAGTTAGATTAAAAAATGTATTTCTATGTTTGTGTGTTGAGCAAGGTAATTATTCTTCTTAGCCTTAGTCTGACATCAGTAAGAAGGGAGGCATACTGTCCTTCAAAATTTCTACAGTTTCCTTTTTAATTCTAGAGAGTTAAGGCAGACAGCTCTAGAACAATTGTTAGAACTACTCTTCAAAATAGTACATCATAATTCAGAATATCACAAAAGTCACTTCTATCTACATCCAGTGTCAACTCAATGGTTACTACGGGACAGTACAGTTGTAGGCAAACGGAAAATCATTATCAATGATACCTCAACGTAGAATACTATTACTTCCTCCACTGATATATTTTGTGTACTTGATTAAAGCAGTAAAAGATTATTTCTCCATGAGAGCAAGGAACATATAGCAAGTATCACAGATTTTTCTCCAAAATCCTCCCTGGACAGGACAGTCATACATTATATAGGTGTATACTTAAAGGAATAATCTTACTCCTCAATATATTAAAAATCAAATTTTAACCTTAAAATAGCTATACTTGTCAGAGGGTGGAAAAGTTTTGTTCTTTCAGAAATTAAATACAAGTCCAGTCCCAACAGCGTCCTTTTCAAATATTTTCCTCACTTTTGTTTCTTTTATCTTTTTATGTGAAAGTCGAGATGCATTTGAAAAATGCAAAGTAGAAACCATTTCTTCTCCATCAAAGTTACACCTTGAAAGAAAGAGACTGGGAGACAGACAGGGAAAAGAACAGAACTTTGCTGTAAATTTGAACCCCAGTCCTGCATCCTCAGTCATTCATTCAGGAAAAGAAACAAGCTAACTACACTTAGAAGAGTCACCCAGTTTCCAGTATTGAAGAAGACATGAGAAAGACCCTCATGTTTGACTGTATGCTTTGAGGACATGGAGATTCATCCAGTTACTAAGATGAAACAGTCATCAGCAAATGTTTCCCAATATTGCTCCTTTTTGCAGGGAGATAGTTCCCCTTTCAATTGCCCACCTGTAGATTTTTTTTCCATAATTCAGAGCAGCTCCTTTCTTTCAGCAATAAGACATACTTAGCCAAGAGACTACTGATCTTGGTAATGATAATGGACACTGAGAGAAAGGATAATAAATGAAACGTTTCATCTGAAAATCATTCACTTCCATAATTAATGCACAAAGATGCTGATAACTGATTTATTTAGCAAAATAAAATCTACACTTGGATTATTTTAACCATATACTATATTAATTTCAGCAGTTCTCTATCTGAAAAATCGGTATTCATGGACCATTTCTCCTTTTTTGGCAAGAGTGCTTTTAATATCTTCAACATCTTCTGTTTGAAAAGTAATCTCATCTCAGAACCCAACGATACTTCTATATATTGGAAGGACAACTGTTTGGATGATACCATGAGTTCTTTTACCTGGCTGTTCCCAAATTTCATTAACTGAAGACCAAGAAGCTGCTACAAGAAATCCAGCCTGTTTATTACAGCCCTGTACAGACCAGACACAGTAAATAAACTCCAAAGAAAGTAAGTTCTTGAACTAGAAAATAATAATCTCAAAATTTCCTAATAGCTGAACACATAAATAACAGAATTAAAGCAATAAATCATGTACTTCATACCAGGCTGTCCCACAGGACTGGTGAACCATGTAGACAAAAATGGCAGGCCAGACATCCTCATATGGACTGATATCAAAGTGGTATCTAAGAAGAAAATTTCAGTTTAGTAAGAACAAACACCTTTTCATTCTTACTAAAAGCAAGTGAAAACAACTAGGTAATGTATATCTGACAGCATTCACTTGTTTTTGAATATACACAGAAAACTGACTTCACAGATAAGTGAATATATTTCTGCTAAGGTGAATGGACCTATGCTCATAGAATCACAGAATCATTTAGGTTGGAAAAGACCCTTAAGATCACTGAGTTCTACAGGGATGATGAGAGCTATACAGGCACTCCTAAAAATACTCCAGGAATTGTAAAAATGCTGTCTCTAATAATATGTATATATAGGCCTATTTTTTTTTTTTTCAACAATTTCTGTCATGAATTCTGAGAGACTTGCTCTAATTTTGAAGGAAAAAAATCAACTTTTACTAGCTAATAGAAATTAAGCCCAAACTTCAAAAATCAAGCACTTAATACTGCATTTTTTATGTTTCATTAGATGATGACTTCTCCCCTTTCCCATTACCAACATTTAGGCCTAATATTAGGGACCTGCTCAGCAGAACTGTTTGTCCTTCGATTATTAATTAACCCCTTTTCCTGCACCTGCTGTGCTGCAAGTCTTCTATTTACCTTCCATTGAACCCAGCTAAACGCTTGTATGTACGTGGCATACTGAACAGCACAGCAGGTGCAAGAGAGCTGAAGGTAGCTGAATTGCTTGGAAAATGGTTAAATGTATTCAGATTGCTCAAACTAAAGGATGTTAATATAATTTAGAATGAAACCTGTCATCTTTGCAAGTAAAAGTCATTTTTGCTGAGGAGGTGGGTTATATAATATCATCTTACAAAGCACAAGAAATTGCATGGCAAAGAATAAGTATTTATTAGGGTGTAATCCTGCAAGCTGCTAATACTCTGGCTTTCAAGCAAATCACTTCAGCATGTAATGAACTTTAACTGTAAGCAGCCCCTATTAAGCATACACTTGCATGGTTTGCTCACTCACAGCTACAGTGCTCAGTGCCTGACAGGAGTGAGCAAACTCTGGAGATTAATTTTACAAAGACAACTTAGCTTTTGTGACTCAGTATCACAGAGTTTTGATTTTTGGCACCTGGTCACTACAGTAGACTTTATTGTCCTGGGCCAGAAACAATAATGAAAAAATCAGAAGATTCCCAGTGTTAATGTTGAATGGGGACTAACTGACAAAATACAGATAGAGGCACGTCTTCAGCACACAGCCTACTATTGAGAGCTGAAAGTAACTGAATTATTTCAGAAAGTCTAAGAGGCTGGATGGGAAGTCCACCTACAATTTAGGCCGCAACCGTAAACTCTAGCAGCTGGGATTCATAACCCTGAATTATCTTCAGAAGTTTAGAGATCAGTATCCATTTTCCCTTCCTTCAAGAAATACAGGCAGATGCACAAAACACACACACCAAAAAAACCCCATCAAAACCCAAACCCTAACCACTCTGCCCAAAACCCAAAACCAGAAAGCACTCAACCCAAAAAATCCCAGGAACGAGCTGAATCTTTTATTCTAAAACATATACAAGGGGATGAGATCATGCATTTGGTCTTAACTGATGTTGTTTGGTCTTAACTACTGATGTTCCAGCTCAGCCTCCTCTCTGGCTCTGAGCTGCTGGTGACTTGGGACTATCTGAAAGAAAGCTCGTCTCTACGATCCTTAGATATTTATATAACGCTTAAGGCAACTACTCTGAGGAAAATGGGTACCGTTCTGAGTACGTATTCTTTTACATCTTTGATAGATAAATTTTGTTCACAGGTCACTAAGTATAACTAAGTATAAGAAAGCTAAAGATAAACCCCTATGATTTTGGGACAGTTCAATAATATAAGATTTCAGGATAGTTCAAGTGCTTCCTACAAAACCCTCCACTACATCTAGGGGAAAAAAAAAAAAAAATCTTTTTCACAGACTGATACAAGATGCAACTGTTGCTATATGAGAAAAATACTTACAGTTCAATTTCTTTATAAATATGTGGAGGCAGTGTACAGTGCATGAGGTTTTGCCACTCTTCTGCTGTACAAACACTATGGTAGGATAGCTTCTCCATCGTTACACGGTAAATACACTCTGAATGGCGAATTCTGTGGTACATCTGAAAAAGGGAAGTGATTCATTAGTGTGAAATTTTAATAAAGAAAAAACATTTCTTTCCTGTATTAAAATACTTATTCTTAAAATACACATCTGCAAAAATGTTAGTGCTTTTGGCTGCTCAACTTCACCCATTAGAAAGGCAACACATTATATGAAATTCAGTACTTCTGGAAAGCTGGGCCTTCTATCACATCACTCTGCATCTACTCAGTCAGGTAAACATCTAAGGCTCATCTGATTTTTCACTGTGTCTGAGCTCTCCCAAGAAAAAGAATCAAAGTTCAGGAGTTAGAAACAGAGCTCAGTCTCTTGCAGTATGCTAACAGAAAGAAAACTGATAAGAGGGCACAATTCAAATTTTGTGCCTCTGCATGAATTCAGATATTAACTGGTGCAAAGAACTGCTACCTATGCACAGTAAAAAGTACATGAGATGTTTATTACATCTACATTACTATGTAATAACTGTGAAAAATAAGTAACGTTAATTGAGAGGTTCACACAGCTACTGCAGACATGGCACGGTCTATAAACAAGTAAGGGCACTAGAATTTTACTAGTAAAGATAATCCGCTGGAGCACTATGCCCTGAATGGTAACATTCACCATCTGAAAAAAGTGAACTCACACAAAATGGAGTGACTGCATAGTCTCAAGTTTCATTTATATTCAGTCCTTTCTACTTGCCTTGAGCCACGTAGAACAAGTTTAAGTAACTGTTAGTAAAATTTGCTGCCTCAGCATGCCAACAGCATGATGTTGGTAAAGTGACTTAATGTAAATCACCAGGCTTAACTGGCACTGCATGGTGTCTTACCTCCCATGAATGACACACTTCTTCTGCATTGCATTTTTATTGCATTTTTATACTTATATAGTAACAATCATTAAATTGTTTATGCTTCCTACAGGAATAGTAGTTTTTGTGATGATAAAGGGTTTAAAAACAAAAATAGCCATCTAATCTTATCTAGAAGCATGGAAAATTATAAGTATATAGCACAGCATATAAATGTATAAATTTATATATTTGAATATTAAGCATATGGAATTGAGAGAATACATAACATCTCATTCCCCAGTTAAATTTGTAAAACACATGATCTGAGTTTATAAAAGCAAATAAGAATCATACTTTTTATTGAAAAAGAGAAGACAGACAGATATTCACAGTTCTGAGCTTGCTCTCTCGTTCAGCTACATTAAATTGATGTATCCAGAGTACAATTATTTCAGAAAGCATCAAATTAATCTCTATCATCCTCTTAAAATGCAGTTATTCAGCAAAGACTTAAATGATTCCTGTTTCCTTGTTACTTCAATAAAACAAATTTATGAATCGCTTAATAATCTAGAACATCAAAATCCTTAAGAAGGATTCTAAGTTTCTCCATTCTAACCAACAGTTTACAAAACTGTAAATAAAACTCACATTAGCACAGTGTAAGGCTAAAGCACAAAAGACTGCAAACATTTTAAAGTTGTTCTCATCAGTTTTAGAGAAGGCACTTCCACTTATTTTGTTCACCATCTGCACAACACCTATTACACTTCCTCGGCTCACAATAGGCATGCACAGGATATTTCTCGTTGTGTAGCCTGTGTAGAGGTCTACTTCTCTGGAGAAGCAGAAAAGAGAAAGGAAAAAAGGAAAAGAGTTAATATTATTAATTAATCTCTATTCCTTGATTCTCAGAAATGTTGATGTACAATATACTAAATATTTTTAAAGTAGATGCAATTAGTACCTGCAAGAAATCAACTTCCAAAGCTCTCAAATATTTCTATCTACTGTGTCATATTTAGAAATAACTTTTTAATCCTTTAATCTCCATTTTCAAGATAAAGAATTAATACTTTCTCAAATGTATAGTCAGCATATTAATAAAATTAAATAATACATCCAGGTACTTAGGCATGCTATTTGTTAGCGAACTTTCTTTTTCTCTCCTGAAACTAATTAGATTGCAGGGAGGCTAACAAAGAAAATCAGCAACAGTCTACCTAGTTGGGCAAAGTTCCATAACAGGAAAAATAACTACATTTTTCTCATATTATATTTATATTTGTTAAAAATAATAGTTTTTATTTGTATCTTAAAAATATCTCTGATGGATAAGCATTTAAACAGACATCTATATGTTGCCTCCTCATCAGAGGATCATAGCTCAATGAATGCATCCTAATATGAAATTTAAGTAGTAAATTTAAGTAAAAGGTTTGGTGCGCTATCTTCCCCTCCTATGATTAACATCCTACCTGTTAAAGCGTGGATCTGCATAGGCATCAGGGATGTTAAGGACTTCTCCTGTTCTTGCCACTTGACCAGCTATTCCTTTTTCTATAGAAAATCTGCAGAAAATAAAAATGTGTGTGTTAGCCACAATGTGAACTATCTGGGAAAATATTTTTCCAGTGGAGTCTGTTCAGGCATGGTAATGGATATTTGTTCCCAACCAGCGTCATTTTGATGCTTTCAGGAGAAAAACCTTACAACACAACTAGTAGTAGAACATAAAATTAAAAAGCACATACTATCAGATGCTTTCCAAAACCATTTTATATAACTACACAATTTAATACAAAAGATGCCATAATATGACCATTTTAGTGACAAAAGTTCAAAGTCTTCAATAACCTTGGAAGTTATGCCTAATAAATTTGTACAGAACCTGAGACTTGTGTTTACCTTTACAACCTATTCATTTTATCACCACGTTTACATATTTATTACACATTAATTTTACATGTTCCCTTAGACACATCATAGGCACTATGGAGCTTGTTTCTTGAGGGGGCAGGTGGATTTGGTAAAATAAACTTCAGAAAAAGACCAGTGGAAATCTCAAATCTAATAATTCTATCTGTTTGTCATGTACACTTCAGAAGGAAGTTGTGGATGCCCCATCCCTGGAAGTGTTCAAGGCCAGGCTGGATGAGGCTTTGAGCAACCTGGTCTAGTGGAAGGTGCCCCTGCTGATGGCAGGGGGGTTAGAACTAGATGATCTTCAAGGTCCCTTCCAACCCAGACCACTCTATTATTCTATGACATGCAAACAATGCCATGGTACTAACTGCATCCCTTAATCACAAGAAAGTCAAACACAACAAGCATATTCTGGAGTTGAATCAGAAAAAGTCTACAAGTCTGTCTTGTGAGGAAATAATTTACAATTCTTTGATGTAAAACAGTTCTGACACACGAGCACAAAAGGATTTGTGGAGAAAAATAAGTAGAAAGTATCACATGCGGAACACTTTCAAATCTAAGTGTACCCAGGTAGTATCCTGCCCTCACTGAAGTCAGTGACAAAGCTGACAAGATTTCATCCTGCACACCTGATTTTTAGTTTCTTGTGCTGCTTGCTATATGTACATCACACCAACTTAAGTTTCTTTCCTGATGACTGACTCAGTCAGTCATTTTCTTAGAGTGTCACTTTCTTTACAGATATTTAAGTTGTACTTCTCTTTCAGTATACAGCACCCATAAAAATGCTCACATCCTTGCACTCAGTCAACATCTCAATAATTTTCATAAAGAAAAGAAAGATATAAGCAAGAAAAACCATTACCAAGGAGTATGGAAGTATATGTTAAAGCAGGCCACCTTCTTTAATTTACACCACCTCCATTCTTGTCAGTATGCAAATTGCACCAATTTTGACTCCTTCCATTCTCACTCACACAATGTAATAAGTGGGAGTAAGTTTGTCTAAAGGAGTCTAAGTGAAGACATGAATCACATCTCATGTTGGCCTAGAACTTTGAAAGTATAAGGAGGGAATGAAAAAAAATCTGATAAAATCTATGCTGAGTATTGTAAAAAAATTTAGCACAGGATATTTAGTCACACATTTATTTCTTTTTAAGAAGCTGCAGGTTTAAAATCTGTGTCTTTGAAAATCTTGATCTGTATCTATTAAGGATTCATACCTTTTGAAAAGAAAAAAGTTATATTTACTTTGTTGTTTTGCCTCTTTCATTAAAAAACATGCACATCAGTAAAAATTACGTGACATGAAGCAGAAATACACATCAATTTTAGGCAGAGGATCCTATGTATTCATTACAAGCCCATATATGTTTTCAAATTCACCATTTCAAGCATATTTCAGAATCACAATTATTTAAAAGTTTGAAAATACTCTAAATTAACATGAGAAAAAGTAAAACTAAATGACTGAAGAAATCTTCAAAACCAATGACCACTCCACACTAGATTCTACATATGCCTAATCCACCTGTAAGAAGTACAAATTGTCATTTCCTTGCTTTGGATGTGCCTGAATTGCATAAATTTCAATTCCTCTTGGGAACCCTCTTGGGAAAAAAAGTCTCATACTGGCAGACTATGGATTAGGTGCACCTTTACCTGCACCTTTACCTACCTCAGAACACCTCTGTTTTTTTCCCAACATGATTTCCAAAAGGACCGCCTCCGGAAGACGGCATTTCCAGGAGTGACGTTATAGCTTCAGAGACGTTGTTTCGATGGCACTGCAATGTCATTCCCAGAAGTACTACCTTCTGGAGGCGGGTCCTGGTGGGAATGATATCACAGTATGACAAGTATTGTCAGGGTACCTGCAGATAGGCACAGAGACTGGGTAATAAAATGCCTGCACATCCATAGTTATAATGTAACTGCATTCTTCTGCTAGCTACTCTTACCTTATTTCTTTGGTCTTCTTGAAGACAGGTTTCCCATCATTTTCTTCTCCAATATCAAAAAGGTCTGAATACAGCTCCTTATTTTTGTGGTCAACCTGGAAGAGTGCACATCTATCTGCATTCACCAGGTTTTTTGCATATATCTATAGACAAAAAACAAAACTGGAGTTAACTGTCATGAATAAGACTATCTCCAGTCATTTATTTGTTAAAAACATAAGTCTCTAGAAGATAAAAGTTTTGAGAAATTACCCAGTATGAATAACTGTTTGAAGGAGCATCCACCTTCACAGCAGTCTTTTATGATACAATTCAAAATGAAAATGTGTCTTTTATTCAATATTTTTTTGTAAACTGGAGTGTTGTTCTCTCTGAGAAATGTGGGAACATCTTAAGAGGCCTGAATGTTTGCTAAAAGAAAAAAAGCTTTCCTATTAAGACTATTTTTCAAGTACAAGGAATGCTTTTCAAATAGCTACCTTTCCTCCCTCTATGTTTAGATATTATTCACCTTTACTTGATTTTAAATAGACAGGAAATAGCAAGACTTAAGAACATTTTTGGCTTTTTGTCTTTATCTTCAATGCAAATATATTGGCACTGAATATCCATCAAAGAAAGACATAAGAGAGGCTAGTGTCTGTTTCTAAAAAAGCTAAATGTCCCTGTAATACATAACAACAAATGAATAGGGAAGATTAGAAGTGCCATTATGGATTGCCCTGTGCAGTGGTACAGGAAACGGCTGCACCCTCTTGATGCTAGGGACAGTTCTTGCACAAAAGGCAAGACTAAGTAGTTCCACATGAACTAACCAAAGCCAACAAGGTACCCACTCATAGTCAAGAAAGTAACACAGCACAGCAATAGACTTGCATGGTCTCTGCCATACTTTGAACCAGTTAGTTTTATCTTAGCAAAACTAACTGCCAGCAAGCACTGAATGTCAGAACAGAATCTTGTCCCAAGAACACAGCACAGCAGCTCTTCACTGAAATGCTTATCAGACTTAGGATGAACTTTCTGAAATCAAGAGGAAATAGTCAACTGAAATCGAAGAAGGATCATTCTGTTAACTTGAGAAGCCCCATAGTCAGGTTCCAGAACCTGCTCTATCCAATTCAGATACGTCTTCCATGTTTCGTATCTGCTCAGAAAGCACAGGTAGAGCATGATCTGAGGTGGATCTCACTCAGCTTTTTAAAATTGTGTGTAATAGTTATCTAGTCATTCAGCCACAGAAAGAGGCTGACTACATCTTGGTGTGCAATGCATGCAGGTGGTATGTCTTAAGAGTTACGAAGACTTCCATATGAATGAATTAACTTCCCCTCACTTCCCCTCCATTCTCTCATCTTTCAAAAATAAAAACAAAAATGTAAAATATTTCATTTCATATTAATGCAAATAGACAAATGTTACACCTTGGCAGAAAAAACCTATGAGATGATGAATCATTATTTGGGAAACTCTAATCCTGTGTCACATGAGGTGTGCAACGGGAACTGCACAGAAACCATCTAGACCAACTCTACAAAACTTTGAAGGCCTTCCCATACCGACAGAATCTGGTTGGAAAGATTCTGTTGCTTTCTATTCCACTTGTTCCATCAGAGGAGTAGAAACTCAGGGAGACAGCAAGCTAAGAGGTAACTTTTATAAAATATTTCCCACTTAGAGCATTATGAAGTTTAAAGGTCTTAACTGTTCACATCACTTACTCCTTTGCTCAAAACAGCGAATACAAGTTGACAAAAAGGACAAGGTCCAGTAAATGCTTCTCTACACCTATTCAGAAACTATCAGATTTCTTTATAAAGTCAACAGCACAGTGCTGATTTTACACAATTAAACTTCTGTGTTCTAATGCATATGACTCAAGAACTTACCTTGGTCATGACTCATGTTTTTAAAAAATAACTGCTTATACACTATTATTTGAGAGAAATAGTTAATGGGGTGAGAAAGTTTTACTTCCCTGAAGCCCTAGCTCAAATCCAGGACAGTGGCTGAAGGGGCATATAATACAAAAGATATGCTTTGCATTCTCAATAGGGACATCAGTGACCACTTTTTGGGTAGGTTGCTTGTAACTACTTAAGCATATTGATAAGAAAATTTACAAGGCAACTTGAACCTCTGCTTCCTCTCCTTGCAACTATATGCAAAAACACCCCTATACCACTAACTTTGCTAAGGAATTTTAATTAAAATAAAAATAAAAAGAATTCTAAAATCCCTGTACTTTTTTCTTTACTATTACAGGAACAAATCAAACTTTTAAGTGCAATCACCAAATGGTGAAATAGTGAGGTGAAACTGAGTTTCACTCTTTTCTCACTGTGAGACACAGAATAAGCCACAATATGATTAAATCACACTCCCATAAAATGCCAATAAACATGCAACTATGCAATTCAATTCACTGGCCCAAGAAACAGCCAACTGCTACAGCCTACAAAGGAAGATGAGTATGAAACATCTATGCAGGTTAAAATGCAGAATCATGATGCAGCCAAGTGTTGGAAAAGAGGATGTTGGAAAAACATATTTTACTGTCAATTATGCCGTCCACCAGACCTCTGCTCATAGGGAAGAACAGGGAAGAATATCAATATTAGTTCTCAATTACATATGTTATATTACACCAGTTCTTTTAAATGTTAAGTTATTTTTAAGCAGTTCATTTGAATTGGAAAAGTCAATGTTCAGAAATATGTCCTATGTGCAGAATTCTGTTCTGTGTACTAACTAGCGTAAGACAAACACTGCAGAATATTTTCCATTACTAATTCAAGTTTCTAAATAAAACCACTTTAATATTGTTTGCATTCTAAGTTTGTCTTTGAATAGTCTAGCTAAGAATATAACTTCAAAGATTGAAGCAAGTATCAGAGTACTGTTGGAGAGTAATTTTTTAAGCATGCAAATTGAAACAATAGTATCACAGACCCGATTAAGATTTACATTCAGGAAAAAGAACTGCAGTATGAATGTGCCTAAAGCTAAAAGGCATCATTAATATAACACTCAAAACTTGCTACCAGTCCACACAGTTTTGTACATACTATTCAGGAAATAATTCTGACTTAAAAATTGATTCAGAAAATTAGAATCTGTTTCTGAATTGTACTGTAAACAGTCAGTTATTTCAATGGACTTGGCTTTAGTGGTTTTTATAAGACATAGAATCATAGAATCATAGAATCGTAGA